AGAAAGACTACATAAAGTTAGCAGAAAAAAAGTGATGGGGAGATATGGGAGGAGTTGAAGGGGAGGGAGTAGGCATGGATTTGATCAAAACACCTTACATGCATGCATGAAATTCTCAATAAATTATTTATTAAAAAATAAAAAAAATATTAAAAAGAAGAAAGAATGTGATTGCTGTGTAAAGTGGGCTATTAAGAGCTAGATCTTCATGCACAGTAAAATAAAAATTAAGATAAGCACAGAATAGCCCCTATGAACGGAAGAGAAGTACAGAAAGAAGATGAAAGTAAGCCAAGGTGGGAATTTCTCCACAGAGAAGAGCCCCAACTAGATGCTACCCTCCAACAAGAGTGAAGTTTTCCCATGGAGAACTCCATGAGAAGCAGAGAATGAATGAATGAATGTCTGGACTATAGAAAAGCACCACAACCTGGGTAAAGCTTGCACAGAGAGCACCTTGGAGAGGGGTAAGGGCTGATACTAGAAGCAGAAGTATGGCTCAGGAACATAAAGCCGAGACAAGATACTCATCAGAAAAAGATGGCCCTGACATTGCCTAGAAAAACTGTACAGTGCTGTGATAGTGTGCTGTGGAGCCCAGCCCAGTATGATAGCAAACCAAGGTAAACTCAAGTGGACAGGTCTTCCACACCTCATCAGAGCTTCAATCACAGAGAGCCTGTCTTAGTTTGTTCTTTATTGCTGTGACAAAACACTCTGACCACTACCAACTTGAGGAGGAAAAGGTTTATTTACCTTACATATCCCAGGTCACAGTTCATCCTGGAGCTCAAGGTAGGAGCTCAGGGCAGGAAAAACCAAGGTAAACTCAAGTGGACAGGTCTTCCACACCTCATCAGAGCTTCAATCACAGAGAGCCTGTCTTAGTTTGTTCTTTATTGCTGTGACAAAACACTCTGACCACTACCAACTTGAGGAGGAAAAGGTTTATTTACCTTACATATCCCAGGTCACAGTTCATCCTGGAGCTCAAGGTAGGAATTCAGGGCAGGAACCTGGAGGCAGGAGCTGGAGCACATGG